GATCATTCGCATAGAACCTTTAACAAGTGCACGACTGGGCTGTCTGACTTCGAGCCACTCCGGATGCATATGTGCCATGAGGCATTAGACACTAGGTGAGTCTGCTGCCCACTGAAGGCACAACGGGCAACGGTGTGCAAGGTACTGTTGAAACGAAGCATCGCAAACAAGTCGGGTCCATTGACCTGCTTCGAGGGCTCGTTTGGCGCGACATGCCCCGTGGACCACATGATGCTACTCGACAGGAATACGTCTCTCGACTCGCAGACTATTGCGATGTTCCATGGGACAATGTCGACTGGGAACGCTACGAGTCTACAAGGAAGCCACAGATTTCCTCCTACTTCACACCTTGCCGAGCAGATACGCGAGGACGAGTCGAGACACTGAACTTCGACTCCGATATTGCCCGTGGTGCCTTGAAAGTGTACCTTCGTGCTTGTCAAGATGCGCTCAATGCTTCTCTGTTTTCGTATCATTCGGAAGACACCAGAGAGCGAATGTTCAAGAGGAAGAGGAGACTCCTTGGGGGATCCCACAAGAAGAAATTGCTCTCGCGGTGGAAGACGCAACAGCAGCTGTCAATGCCAACCCCGTCGACGCTGACGAGGATGACAGGAGGACAATTGCGGAGCCTGAGATGAAATTCGAGGAGGATGTCTCTATGATCGAACCACAACCTGAAATGGAAGACATGGAGGAAGACGTCGAAGAAGTGAGCTCACGACAACCAGTTCTCATCAACGACGGCGAGTTCTACATGGATCAGCAACTTCTACATGCCAAACTAAGCATGGAAGTCCCAATCTATGCTCACATCGAATCAGCATGGGTTATTGATCCTACAGCCAACCTCGCACGGTACATGGCCTTCGTCGTCATCAACTACATGCACAAGAACTGGAGAGGGAATGTCAAGTGGCTCGATGTTCCTTTGGAGGCGATGCGCGGCTTTCTCCTACAGAAGAAGAGATACGATGTTATTGGAAGCTGGGGAGATGATTTATCCCGCATTGATGAGCAGACCGGCATCTCCAGGGACGTCACGGATGACGAGGTCCTTGCATTTGGACAAAATCTCCGAGATCCAGGAGATCCTTCAGGTATTCAGTTGCTCAACAAGTTCAAGACGAACCAGCTGATCGCAAAGCTCATGAGAGGAGCCATCCAACTTGGGTATCGAAAGGAGCACTTTGATCCAGCATATCACATGCGAGAACATCAAACAGAAGACGATCCGCAAATGCATTCAAGCTGTACCGCGTTGCTATCAAAGCTCGTGTGCAAGATTGCAGGTTACCGGCAATACACAGGGTTGCAAACCACGGACTTCAATTCGCCGTCCAATATGCTATACATCGGCCCCTTCGGCATCTGTTTGTTGATCGGCGTTGAGAAGTGCACGCGACAACTATTGACGGCAATGGCGGATCTCGACATATTCAGATGCAGGCGAAGTTCGTTGCAAGACTCACAAACAGTCGACAGCATGGTCCGACGTACAACCCCAGAGCGCTGCAACATCTTCCACATGGCACCCTTCCTGCAGGTCAACAGAATATCATTGACCGACCAGTCACAAGGGAAGAAGCACAAGCTGCTCGTGAAATACGCGCGAAGGCTAAGGCTAAAGCCAAGGCCAGACATCCGCCAGAACCCAAGGGTCCTCCTCCACAGCAAGATCGATGGCAACGCCACGGACGATATGATCAATGGCATGAAGATTCCTCAGGGGCCCGACACTAGCACGGTCAACGCCGGTGGAACAACGATCAGTGGGACAGGTGATCTGATACGCGCATTTTGCCGGAGCCATCGATTACACCAACACATGTTGGACATGGCTAGCTGCACCACATTTCGTGCAGATTTCTTCGATGCCTTTATCCTTTCATTCCCACCGATCGCTTTCGACGTAGCCATGTCTCACGGCTCACGACATTTCTAATTGGAAAAGTTCGCGCGCACAAGCTTAATGTCAGACTGCCGTCGAGCCATTGTTTCTTTTCAGGTCCCGCGACTCTCTTCTTTTTGTTGAGCGGAGCCTCAGGCTTCACTCATGGGGGGTGCGAAGAGACTTCGAAGCCTGGTACAATCCTGGCTATCATGTTCTGAGCTGTGTTACACCACATATGAATGAAAGCTTGGGCGGCCATGCGCCACCAAGCGACAGTCATGTCTCTCAGTCAGTCCAGCTCATAAACCGGCAAATGTTTGGCTCAAGAACTGAGCTGAAAGCTCAAAAGAGTTGAGTCTTAAAAGCTTAGCTGACACTTAGCGATCCTCAAGCCATAGCAACGTGCGTGTGTCCCCTTTGCACAAAGATCAGCAGACTCTGAGCCAGTGAACAACAAGAGTGCATTCGCGTTTGCTCGCAAGGAACACAGCTGTCATACTTATAGTGAGCGCCAACATTTATCTATTCCCGAACATTGCTCAATCGCCGGATGTCATGTCCATCAGCCAGCTGACGTTCAAGCATCGTCCGCATGTGAAAGAGTGAGAATGGAATTGATCCGGTTTCCGTGGTGCTACAGGATAAGAAAAGACTTTCCACGAGTGTCTGCAGAAGGTTGAATCGCATATTGCACCTGGTCAGGAATGCTCGTGACCTCTTCCAGCTTCAGGCGTCTGCGCCGGGCGACCGTCAGATTGGTGAGCGGCTCTTCAAATCTGCCCGAAGCCCGGAAACATGTAGCCATATGTAGCCACATAGTGAAACAGCTTGTATGCCAGTGGAAATCAGGGCTACAGCGTCGGATCCATGAACTTCGGACGGGCTTTGGGACATCCCGGAGCCAAGCCCGACGTGATAGCCAAGTTGAGCCTCGACTCAATGTTTTGCATGCTCTGCAGGATGCAGCTTTCCTGTTTTCGCCTTGATTAGTGTATGCCGCTTGCTGTGACCGTTTCACGTTTGCTTAGATGTCCCCTGTCACAAAAGCTGCACGCAGCACATGTGGGGGGGGGGGGAAAGGAACGAAAACGGGCTGCAGCATGCTCCCGTGCTAGCAATATCTGTACGACATTGCAGGACCCAAGTCGTAGGACTCATCTCAGCTTGCCCTGTTAGTGCCTCTCCCTCCAACCTCCGGCAACACAAAAGCTTCATCGGCCTGACACTTCCATGCAGCTGGAGCTGCATGATGATATAGTGCTTGATCCACATCTGACCAAGCCTTCGGTCACACGGTCACAGCGGGCTGGGTTTCGAAATCTCAGACGTTCAAGGTTTTCAGCGGCAAATCTGTGGGGGCCGGCGAAGTCAGGTTGGCAAAGCCTCTTGACTTGCAATGTGACGCCCATCATCGAGGGGATAAACATCACTCGTGTCGCAAGGTTTTGATGACACCTGGCTGTGCACAGACCGAAGAGATCACTTGGGTCAAGTAGCAGAAGAGCAAGGCTGATGTGTGTAACGACAAGACTGACAAATCTCGGTTGCGATTGCATTGGCAAGTTTTTGTCAGGGCGAATTATTTGGATTACCCCTGGTGCCGGTCGAATTCCGTCGACTCCGGGGCAGCGGGATTCTGAAGTTCTTCCGGATGAGGCTCGGATTTGGCAAGAGAATCTGTTCGACCCACTGCAGGAAATATACACGGAGTGTTGATTCGTTCATACGAAGCGGCACCAGCATCTGCAGGCGGAATGCATCAGCTATGAAACGGAGGTAGCGACACCGAAGACGTGGCTGCAACCCACCCTTATTCTGCTGGCAGTCACATGCCTTCTTCTGACGATCCTTCGATCCCTTTCGAGCTTCTTGGAATTTAGTGTGACCGACTACCTTCCCATGCACTGTGTTGCCTTGTGTGTGCAAAGGCTTTCCTAGCGTTGCTGCATCTTGCCGAGTCTTGAGGTGTCGTGGAGGCTTAAGGCCACCATGGAACGGACTGCGAAGGAAATGATTCTGTTTTCATAAGCGCGGCTTGCAACAAAGACCTAATGAGCTGGTGAAGTAAAGAGGCACTTGCCGTCCCATGTGAATGCTGCAAGCCACCTTAGCTTCGGCTTTCGATCATTGAGGCGATGCAGACAAAAGATCTGCAATTCGAATCCTCAATGGACGTTCAGCAACTCGCAGTAGTTTTTCATTCTCTGCAGGCAGCAGGTCCAGAAGCTTTTGCGGCGAGCAGCTGCGGACGCCATTTCTAGCTTGGAGAATGCAGACGACTGGATTTGGGCATTCAGCCGCCATCCAGAACATGCCCGGACATGATATCCCTTGTGACCTAGCGACTCTACGGCGGACTGCCTAACATAATAATAAGCACACGCACACAGAGCACGGAGCATCTCTAAAGACGCCATGTGCTCGTCTCACTGCCTGTGAACTCAGGATGAACAACCGCTTTGGGTCGCATTGAAAAGGCGGACCTCAACTGCATGGAAGTGCATGCGACACAGCGCACAAGCGGAACCCATTGACCTGTGCCTACGCCATGACTGCCATGAGCAATTCATGAAGTCCGGCCATTCCTTTTGCTTCCTATCGAAACCGCGGAAAGAACAATTGATGCAAGCTGAGACTCAACTATGCATGTCCACTGAGGCAGACTGCAACGCAGCGCTCAAAATCAATCCGGACAGCGGGAAAGCTTACCGTGTCAGGGGCAAGGCCTGCGTTTGCTGCAGCATCATCCGATTGATGAAGGTCGCAGCACTTAAACATTGGCCTGCAGCCACGGAGATCGATCAATATGCTCAAAGATTATGCTGAAAAGTCACAGGCCGAAGCAAAACCAAACAAAAAAGTTTCCCCTGGCCTGCTCAACTGGTCCTCTGCCGGGAGCTTTTCCGTCGGTTCCTCCCATACTCCGAAAACTCGTTCGGCGACAGGGGTTGCATTTCTAGTGCCAGAAGCCACACCAGGTCCGAAGCCATACTCTCCCGTTAGTGGCTAGTTTGCCTTGTTCCAAGGCCCTGTAGCCTTAAGAGACTTGGGGCAGACTTAGGAGGCCCGAGCCAGGCTCTCGCTTCGGAAGCATAGCTCGAAGATGCTGTTAGCTGCTTCGGAGGCGCACAGGCTCCTCGGCCACTGGGAGCAGGCGGAGACAAGACAGCATGAGCACATATGAGCACTCAGCAACCTCGAAAGAAGTCAAGGCGCATCAAGATCTTGCAGAGAGCCAGAAGCTGGACTTCGATGATGACACTGCGGAGGTCCGCTCCAGAAATTGTCTTAGCCTCTCCGGGTTATCGCCTTTCGATCCATGCCCATGCTTGCAGTTACAAAAACTTGTGGACTCCAAGTACAAGAAAATTGCAGAGCGCAAGAACAAAGAGCGGTCGGACTCTTGCGCTTGCTGATGGCGGCGTGTATATGTGTGTCATCAGTCCGAAGTAAGCCATACATTTCCCTGTCATCTGCGAGCAGACGCAGAGGTTGCGGTCAGAGCAACGCAAAGAGAAGGCTCCTCTGTTGCATGAGCAAGACACCAAGAGTATGGCGCACTCTCCCCATGGCAGGAGAGAAGGCGAAGGAAGGAAGAGGCAAGCTTTGTGCAGTCCCTTTCACATCACACGATTTACATTTCCGACATGACACCCAGGCACAGCGAGCCTACGAAGAAGCAAAGAAGCCTCCGCCAGGAGCAGGTACAGCGACCATCGCTTGCAGACTTTGATAACGTATGTTCTGGGCAAGTATGCTTACATTAGGACTTCTCCCACGAGAATTCTGCATCTTTCACGAGGCTATGGAGGATTCCCTGGAGGAGGCTTTCCGGGTGGTTTCCCTGGCCTGAACCCTGTTGAGCTGGCCTTCTCCCAGATGCTCCTGGCTTACAGCGTGAAGCCCAGCTAAGGCATGCCCGGTGGCATGCCCGGCGGTATGCCTGGCATGCCCGGCAGTGAGCTCGGGCGGCTGCATCTTAAATTGGAGCTGAGCCATCTTGGTATTGCGGGTATCAGGTTTGGACCCGAGCATGCTGAGCGGTATCATGAGTGATCCAGAGCTCATGCAGGCAAGTCACGAGTCAACGACTGAGAGATTCGTTTCAGTGGATTGGCGCAGGCTTTTTCCGATCCAAAAATGGCGGCGGCCATGCAGGACTGCTCAGGTCGTACAGCAAGCGCAGTTATGGCTGATGTGAAGTCGTAATTCGAAATCTGAGAAGAGAGAGAACCGCCTGCGCTCGCGTCCAAGTGCAAATCAAGATTCCCCCATCCGTTTGGGGCTCGACCTACATGTTGATAACATGTTTTGCGCACTGCTGCATTCTTTCCACAGAATCCTGCTGCAGGACATCATGAGCAATCCTGGAAACATCGCGAAGTACCAGAATGATCCTGACGTCATGAACCTCATAAACAAGGCCAGTACTGGTAGTCGCATACTCCCGCACACGCAGTTTCATTGCATTGCAGAGCTACAAGTCTCTTGAACGCAGCAGGTGATGGGAGCTTTTTCCAAATTTGGTTGGTTGCTCATATCTTGCCCATCTGTCTTGAACAGTCTGCCACATACTTTATTCTACCGGCAGCTGGGTCTGCTGCAAACGAGGAGGAGGCATGCCCGGTGGCATGCCTGGTGGGTTTGGCGCCGCCGGAGGAAAGTCGCAATAGCTGCTACAGTGCCATCTGCATCTTGTTGCAAGAAGGAAGTGGCTCGGCAGGGGCATCTGCAGGACCAACCGTGGAGGAGGCTCGAGCCTAGGTCGGGAGCATGCAAGAACGGGATCCAGCAGCCCGGCAAGTGTAGGTTCCAGAGGCAACGAACGTTGATGAAGTCGACTGAGATCAAATCCTGAATGAACTCAAGGACGGAGCCCATACAGGATTGCTCACCGCTTGCCCGCTTTCGGCCCAGTTGGACTTGGCGATCATGCTGGCCTGTCCAGGCTTGTGGCCTGAAAGGTCACCTTGCACAGCAACCTTGCAGCCTCTAAGCTGGTCCAACGAGTTAAAGCCCAGTGACAGCCTGGTATCCCAAGCTGTGCTCCGTCCTTCGGGAAGGAAGCACATTTGCAGCGGGAAAAGCCGAGCAGGTTCGCTGCACATGATGTTGAAGAGCATGATTCAACCACAGCCTGCGAGACTGAGACCGCTGCCATGTTGAAACATCACCCCGCTTCAATTCTCACTGCTCGCGAGTGGGGTGCTCATCCCCGCCCCCACCCCCTCGACCTACTTAACTGACATGCCATAGGAAACATTGGGAGAGCCTGGGAAGGTGCCATGGTGTATGCTGCCGGTGCCAAGCTCCGGCCTGATGAAGGACCCATTCTTTATCTTCCGGACATCTTGGAAGAAGCTGCCAGACACAGCCCAACCGGTGGCTTCACCATCTACGAGGCAAACAGTTACCATGTCTGTCGCTACGCCTTGTCTCGCATGTCCTGACATCACATTCAGCCAGCGTCAGGTTTGGAAACAGCCTTTCAGATGCATGGAAGCACGTCAACCTTGAACAAAGTCTTACAATGCCTTACAGCAACTGCAATTCCATTGAACTGCAAGATTTCGAACCCCTGAATGCACGGTGACGGGAGCCCCGCGACAGAAGCGGATCAGCTTCTTGTAGTTGCTTCCTGGGGCTTGTCGGCCCTGTGTAGCCTATTGCAACGGTCTCGTGTAGGTTTGAGAAACTACACCACGGTGCACCATGTTCACCATTGTTGAAAGTAAACAGTCGATCGACTGACAGGACAGCGCAAGCTTCGAGGAGCTGAACGTGCACTTTGTGTCTTATCCATTTCTGCTGAGTGCCGCAAGGTCGCTGGCAAGATGCATCGTCGCAGCTACCGGAGGAGCCGAGAAAGGTGAAGAGACTTCCAGGAAAGTCCGCGAGATCGGAGACCAAAAAACTCGGATTATGCTCGACCCAGACTTGCCTCGGCGGTATTTGATAATCGCTTTCTGGGCCTGCATGCTGGCAGGGAAACGGCCTTGCTTGCTCACCGTGCCGAGGACATGGGAGAAGTCCCGAAGGCAGAAGTGGATTCAGCAGTCATGGGAGCAGCTCCGGTTCCCTCCTTTGATTTCAGACTCAAGCTTGCATCCCTTGAGCGAGGCGTGCTGTTCGCACATCTTGTCACTCCCCCTGTCATTGCACGACACTTCTCCAGAGCTTGGAAAGCACTTCGGGGTCGACACTTCCAGAGCTTCGGAAGAAGCCGTCGCCTTCTATGCAGTCTCGCAAGAGGGCTGCATCTACAGCTATTCCGCTGAGGCCATCTATGCAAACATCAAAGCCACATCGGCTGTCCGGACCGATGCGAGCTCACGGGGCAGCAGCAGTTTGAGCTGGATGCCATTCGGTCTTCCAACAGTGCTACTCTCTCACTGCGAAGCGGTTTATCTAAGGCGCTCGGAAGTTCACTTCTTCATGGACGGTCTGCTCAAGCCGACGACACTGCTCAAAATCGTCGCGCGGCATCGGCTCCATGAAGTAAGTGCTCCTACGATGTTCTTCCGCCGTGCATTGCAGACGCTGCGGGTCCGTGAAAGCGCTGCATTACCAGCGTGCTGCTTGAAAGGCCTTGCTGGCGTAAGGCAATGGACAGTGCTGTATGGTGGTGAATTTGATCTGTCTTGTCGAACGCGGCCTGGAGAGCTGGAAGAATTTCAGATGTTGATCCTGCAGCTAGCCGGAAGCTCGCCAAGCGCTCTTCCAAGCTCACCGGCACAGTTCCATATCCAGCTCCTCTCACCATGGGGCAATGTCGTGGCGCACACTGGTCTTTTCACGCCTGCCTGCAGCAGGGAGTTCAGTGGTGCTTGTACGGTGGCAGCTGGCATGGAAGCACGCATTCGTGGGACAATGCCTGGTACGATCCAAATTCGCGGCTTGGCGGCCTTGCCGGGTCTCGCATGTTCGGCAGATCTTCTTGAAAGCGGCTGGATTTCAACGGGCCTTAGCGGGTCGCTGGAGACATTTCCGAACTGCGATCATCACTTCCACGTCACCGACATTCCAAGTGAAGTCTTCCGGGTCTCCGGCGTGGAGTACACAGCTGAGGAGCTCGAAGCGGCTTTAGAACTGGCCCCCGAGGTGACACCTGGGTCTGCTGCAGCTGTCAGGCTCCTAACACAAGGGCAAGAGATGCCGCTTCTGCTCTTCAACCCCTCTGACCCACGTGCAGCAGAGCGGGAACGAATCATAAAAGCTCTGAGAAGTCACCTTGCAGTGACATTGGGAATTATCCCAAGGCTGGGACCGCTGCCAGCCTCCCAGCTGCTACGCTCGTGGTCTGGCAGGCCATACAGGGAACTGGAAAGGCGCACGGAGGTGCAGGAGTTCACTTCAGCCTTCCTGACAGGGAAGGCGGAAGAGTTGCTTCCATCGGAATGGGCCTTCGAAGAGGAGTACAAGCCCTATCGGCGCTCGCCTGCGAACAACACTGCCAATGAGGAAGACGAAGATGCTCTGGAAGAAAGACTGGAGGGTGTTCAACAAACGGAGGAGTTACCTGAACAGCAAGTGTCGGGGCCGGAGACAATAGCACTCGTGCTGAGCAACCTGAAGTCACAAGACACCGACTCAGCAAGGCTGGCGAAGGTTGTTTGTTCCAGTTTGGTCCAGACGTCGAAACCAGGCCTTCCACGCTGGGCGGCCTATGAGGTGGATGATGTCGAGGCTCCCAAGCAGTTCCAGGAACTGGCAAAGACCGGGAAAGCCGCGGCTTTGGTACATTTGCTTCAAACTGATGCCTGGAACGCAAGCGACGTGACCAGCTTGATAGAAATCTTGCAAGCCTGGAGCAAGGGTCTGGCCACGCAGGCCCCGGAGCAAGTATCGTCAGTCCTGAACATACTTTGTGTGTCCACCGGACGCTGTGCTCACTTGTGCGGAGCATCATCGGATCCTCGAAAGCATCTGCTGACAGGAGTGCTGCTCAGTGCATCAGCTGAGCTGCCGCTGCGTTGTTGCCATGTGGACGCGGCACCTGGGCCTAGCAATGCAGAGCAAGCTGAACAGCGGCAGACCAAGCTCGCGGAAACACTTGCTCTAACCGCCACAGATTTGTTGACAGAGCTGGGGTTTCCTGCAGAGGTTCTGGTGGACAGTGATGGTAACCGTCTCGCACGGCGGCTGAAGCCCATGGCACTGGAGGTGAAAAAAACAGCTGGGTTAAACTTTCAAAGAGTGCTGATGGCAGGCGGGGCAGGAGGAGTGGGCGCTTTGTGGGCACAGTTTCTGAAGGCCGAAACCTTGATTCTTCTCGGGCGTTCGCCGCCCGCAGGAAAGCCAAGAGGCAAATTAGATCAATTGAAGCACGCTGCATTTGAGGTCCTATATATTCCTGTGGACATATGCGACAAGCGTCGATTGCAGGATGCCTTGCAGAATTGCGCTGCCCAGGACATTGATTTCGCATGCAGCCTGTGCGAGTCCTTCAGGCCACTGCCTCTATGCGACTTCGATGGGACTTCCATGGATTTGCCTTTACGGAAGCTTTGCGGGGCGGAAAATTTTGTTTCCGTGCTGTCAACGCATCGTAAAGTCAAGAAGCTTCCCGTTCTTTTCACTTCTACGGCCGTGTCCGTGAATGGGGCCGCTCAGCTCGCGCAGTACGCGGCAGGTGCGCGTGCCTTGGAGGCTTTCTGCGCTCGGGAGCGATGCTGCAACGACAGGACTGGTTGTGATGTCCGCTGTGTAGCGCTATCCGCATGGGATGGCATCGGCATCACCGAAAAATTTCCTCGACTAGCAGCGGCTTCGCCTGCGGCAGGATTGAAGGTTCTGACAGCACACGCGGGAGTTCTGGCACTCGAGGCGGTTTTCCAGCGTTTTAGAGCACCCCGCTACGGAGCCTGCAGCTGCAAATGGAATAGTCCGGATTAGTCCAGGTACATCTTGCAACTACTCTATGTTGTTCAAAGGTCTCAGCCTCTTGCATCCATTTTCCATTGTCAAGCTTCTTTTTCCGACTGCCATATTGATTCATTCACCCTTCTCATGTGATCTCATGTTAGTAACAGAACGAGTTCAATTTTCAGAGTGTGCTCATGCGAACCATTGAAGATTATGGATTCATGGGATGCGGTTGTGTAGCCAGGGACAGCACTCTAGCGCAAGGTTCTAATCTGAAAATTGGAACATAGTCGAACACTAGTCTTGAAGCCGTGCTTCTTTAGAAAGGTATGCCATGAGTTGCAAATCAGGCAGTAAAAAGGAAGAGCAAAGGCACAAAAAAACTGGATTGCTGAGATCTGCAAGGGCGCAGAAAAGAGAAACTAAAGGCTGTAAAGGTACTCCTACTAGCTATATTGGTTTGACCCATTTGTCCCGACAGAGGCTTGGGTTCAGGATTCAGGTTTCGAAAAGAAGGAACAAGGTAGTAGACTTAGCAGACACGGCATGTGCGGAGTCCAGTGAGACCACTGGTGTTGTCCTTTCATTGCCGTGGTACGACTGTTTGCCTTTCACTGCCTTTCATTTGCCTTTCGTCTGCCTTTTTCGGTAATTAGCGGTTTGCCTTTCTATTGCCTTGTATTCGAAGGACGAAAGGGTTCCAACACTAGTCACTAGTCAAGCATAGTCAAGCAAACGGGAAACATGGTGGCACGCACTGTGAGATTATAGCAACATGAGGAGTATAGTGGAAATGAGGAACTGGCATGTCACAGTGTGACCGCGTTGAAGTAAGGAGTGCTTACAATTGGTATCGATGCATGTCATCCGCGGTTTGCAGCACTCACTGGTGGAAAGCTCTGCTCCGGTCCAGCTGCGGGTACAACGTCGATGCAAGGATGCATTGAAATTGTACAAGTAGCCGTTCGCACAGTCCTGGGACGTGATGCTCAGCTTGGTGACAGTTTTGTTCAAATTGGGTTGGATTCCATGTCCTCAATGTCTCTTCACGGTGCGCTTTGCGAATCCTCGGGCGATTCTTCGCTGCCACCTAGCATTTTCTATGATAATCCAACCATATTGGCGGTGGCAAAGCTGCTGCACAAGCAGGCAATGGCTGCCAAAGGTCCACTTGGTGCCGGCATGGAAGGCATGGACGACATTGATGCTTCCTTGATGGAAAGTCCTGAGGCACGGCAGTCGTATCACTTGAGCCTTGCCCGTGAAGCCTTGCTGAAGAAGGACTTTGAAGAGGTTCGGCATCGGTGCCAGCAATGTTGGAAGCAAGGGTCGATCGTCGGACAGGCCCAAGTTGTTGTTTCCCGACTGGAAATCGAAGCATGCCGTGGATTGGGCCTTGCCAATGAGTGGCGACATGCTGCAGAGGCGCACAGCAGTTTCGGAGAGGGGAGGCGGTATGGGGATTTAGTCTGTGTTGAAACATAATGCATAATCACCATCCCTGCAGAGGCCACAGTCCGTCTTTGCGAGGACGTCTTCGGACGCGATCATCCCGACACCAGCATAGCAGCTGTCAAGATGTATGAGGCCACAAACTGGGGAGCAGAAGGAGGGCTTCAAGCCCGCAGAGGTGGACCAGGAACCCCCATGGATGCAGCACATGCGGCACTAGCTGATCGGCACAAACGCTTCATGTCCTCCGTCACATGGGTAGAAGCAGCCGGCTATGCCACAAGCTCAACAACTCAGTGTGCAAGTGTTTGGCTTGTGCCCAGTGGAAGTTCCGCCGGGAAGTTGCAAATCTTAAACCTTGACGGCCAGAAGCTTAGCCAGCCAAGTCAGGGCCAAGTGCCTTGTTTAGGTGTGCTAGGGCGGCTGGAGGCACTAGAGACGCTGAAGCTGCGCCGAAATCAACTTGCAGAGGTGCCATCCGAACTGGGACGCTTGGTCCGGCTCCGCGAGTTGTGGTTGACTCAAAACTCTTTGTCGGAGCTTCCTGCAACTTTTGGCAATCTCTCAAAGCTTCGAGTTCTGGCTTTAGAGCGGAACCGACTTGCCAAGCTACCTAGCTGCATCTCAAAGCTTCGGGGTCTCTTGCAGCTGGGCTTGGATGAGCAGGAGACAGCGATGACAGAGCTTTGCACGGTTCCAGCAGCGGTTCTGTCCATCTTGCGAGGCCGAGGTTGTCAGGCTTTGCTTCCGGCTCTAGACTGCGGAGCGAAGCATGAGAAGCCCAACTTGAATACCGTGTTCTGGGCCAACAACGGCCTCAGTTCGGAGCCAAAGCTTGTTGCCTTCGCACAGTCCCTGCGACTCCTAGACTTGGCTCACAACCGGATCGCAATGATCACAAGCGATATTTTGGGGCTTCGCAACTTGCGTGATCTCAGCCTTGCGGGAAACCTTCTGCAACATCTACCTGCATCCATCGGCAGAATGCGATCTTTGCAGCAACTGTGGTTGCATGGAAATTATTTGTCGGAGCTACCGGACGAGCTTGGGGACCTCGAGGCGCTTGCGATCCTTGAGCTACACCACAACCGCCTCCTTTCGCTTCCAACCTCTCTCTACAGACTCTCACACTTGAACTGGTTCTTCGCTCACGGCAACTGCTTGACAGACGCGAGCTTCCTGAAGACTTTGTCACAGCTACCGAGGATAAAGATAGTCGGCCTCGGATGCAACAAGCTTCAGCTGCACGACCTCGACCTCCGAAAACTAGGAAGAGCGAGCTTCGGCCTTGGTTGGAATCCGGGGGTCGAAGCGGGGCATCTCACAGAAGCTTTGACCACAAGCGACCTCTTCTGGGACAAGATGGAAGAGGACACTCAGGAGGTTTTAGTCATCACCTTTTCGGCCCAAGGTGCTCCCGTGGCACAGGGCCAGGCCGAAGTGCGCGCTTTGCGCGACTCCTTTCTAAAGGTTGATGCGCTATACGTTTGCGACCCCGCAAATGCCTGGTTCATGCAAGACCCATCGCAGCAGTGGAGAGGATTGGCGTGGCGCGCCTGCAAGCATCAGGGCAACATACCTTGAAACGGCAAGTGACCGCATGACTTAAGCTACACACAGTCTCCGACATCCTTGATTGCAGGGCAGCAGGGTAATTAGCCATCATTGCACACGTGTTCAGTAGTATCGAGTGTTGCAACACGCAAGAAGCTCCTACTGATTCGACTGCTGCACCATGGATCTTGCACGAAGACAGCTGCCGGTTTTGCGGCGCTGCCCACTCGACGAGTGGATAAGTTGCGAGCGCTGGCAATTGTTCATCATCCTGCCACCGTCCCCAAACATGTGCTCGTGTTGACTTATGCAGTGCCAGAAAATGGGTTGGTCATTGGTGTGGTCCATGAAAGCCTGAGAAAGATTACAGTTGCTCTGACAAAAACTCGAAGGCTTGCAGAGTTGCGCTGTCCGAGAAACAACTGCGAGAGGACTTCTGATTGTGCTAGTTTTGCCTCATTGCAAGGTACTTCGAAAAGAGGATCTCCGCGATTGCAGCACAGTATCCGCGAGTTTTCGCATGGGGTGGATCCATGGGAGGTGCCTGCAGCAGCCTCCGCCAGTTGCAGTCACTACTCTTGCAGCTTTCACGTGACATACGTCTTTGGAAAAATAGTGACAGGCTTTCAAGGTGCACGTGAAAGCTCCACTAAAGATGCTGACGACGCGACGATCTGAAAACATTTCTTGACTAAATATAGCACTGGAGGCCATACGGCCGGAGCTTACAATATGCCGCCAAATCAAAAGTCCATGGTTGCCCAAGACCATGGAAAGGGCCGCGAGCGCTTTGGAGCAACTTCCCCAACGCATGCCCTAGACGTGCAGATTCGAGCTTTTCAAGGTTGCACCCGATACTGCAGAAGCGGATTTGTAAATGCCAAAACTGTGTAAATGTTCCGCTCACGGTCCGGCAGGTCCTGCTAAAGACGACAAGAGTTTTGGGGAAACCCATCCAGGATACATGCCAGGGACCTGTTGGTAGTGTTGGAAGCTCAGCTGGACCAGTACTCCCCTGACTTTCGCCGACTCAAGCAGAGCGTCGAGCTGCCATCATCATCGTCATCATCATCACCGCAATCATCCTCGTCGTCATCGTCGTGTCGGGTGCGAAGACAGCGCAAAAGGACGGCCGGTTTTCATTCCTGGTCTCACGAGCAAGAAGTTGCAGCTCGTGAAGACCTGAGGAAGGAAGCTTGCAAAGGCAAAGTTCCTACTTCTCAAGTCTGCCGTGAGTGACCATCCTCGCTAATCGTTTCCCCCTAATTTTTTTCGGGCCCCCCCCCCCCCTNNTATCTCTATTGTCAGATTTGGGCACACTAGTAATTAAACCCTATTAGTTAGTCTTTTCAGACGGACAGAGGCAGTCAGGCAGACTTTTATCTATGAGCTGTGAACAAAAAAGACAGAGAGCTGAGCAAGGGAGGGTCGCCCTAAACCTTGAACCTTTAACCCTAACCCCCCCCCCCAATTCAGAATAGGTTTTAAAGGGCAGGGATGATTTCTGTACGATTGGGCCCAAAGTGTTTTTAATATTAGGAGGGTGTTTAATAAAAGGGTCGATAGAGACGGAGCCTAACACGTGCAAACATGCCAACGTTAACAATGCTTTGATATCTAGCGTGACATCCAAGAAAGCTATGCTGATGACTGTTGGCCCAGCAGGTTCTGCTGCACTGCTTTTCGCAAGCTTGGCGAACAGAGTGCACGCTTTCAGTCCTCAAGTGGACCTGGCCGGCGCCACAGAGTTGCCCGCAAGCCGCCAGAATACTGAATCTTCCGATTGCACATGCTACTGGCTGCTACAGTACTGCCAACTGCCGTCTCAGGTCTACACATGGCCGTCATTTGCAACAGCAACTGTCCGTGAGGACTTCCGTCGGCGCGTTCAGGTGCAGCGCCCCGTGTAATTATGTGGTGGCATTGCGGAGGTGATGTTTTCTCTAAAGCCGCTTGCTCAACACCTGCAGCGCAGGAGTCTGTGCGATCTTGCCGCGGGCATGTGCACGTGCATGTGGGTGCCGAAAATCACACAGACAACCGCCATGCTGCCGGGTCCTGAGATCGTCATGCCGTCTCTTCTAAAGCTGCACCGCTCGTGGTCTTGCATTGGTCATGCGCTTCAGACTTGCTGCAGGGAAATACCAAACGTAACAGTCCATGTCCTCCTTGTCGTTTTGTCTTTGGATGCATGGTTTCAGGTAAACGTGGGACCAAATCAGGTGGGAGTGCCAACTGAACAGTGAAGCTTTCTTGCCGATGCGGAAGACTCGATCCTACCTGCACTCGATTACGCTTGGATCCCTGTGTGGATACTGTACTGTTTGCAGTTGCATGTAGTTGCTGAAGCTGGAACTCAAACGTCGTTCCTCCATGCATTCGAACCAGGCTTCAGGCAGTGATTGAGCACTCCAAGTCGTAGATTCCGCATCGAATGTTTATGGCGACGGGACACATGAACCTAGTAGATCTACTAGGGCGCAGTTACAAGATCAGCAGAAGCTGGAAGCGGACACTTGATGACATGCTGTCTGCAAAGATAAAGCACCCAAGCATGGAACAGGTTCGAGCTTTTGCCGTGCACGAGGAAGTATGCCGTCGTGATTCGTGAACTTAAGTGAAGCAGGTATCAAGTCCCAAGCAGACTTCACAGTCCACTGTGAAGCGTTCCAAGAGCGGCTCCAGTTCTTGTCGGCCAATTTATCCAGACATTCTTGCCGAGCCTCCCCTTGTGACTGGCCAGTATTTCTGCCGATGCTCACAAGGATCCCAGCAGCCGCTGCGCCACGAGTTGTTGACATATCCATGAGGTCTTGAGGACCTAGCTGACGATCGGGGCCTCGGGTCCACCCTTGACGGCGCTATACCACGCTAGTGAGGCAAGCATTGTAGCCTCACTGGGACCTTTATTTGACTCCATCCGTCAAGCTGCCCTTGAAGCACAACGTCGGACGCAGCCGGCCGCCGCTGAGCATCGAGGCTCGTGTTCACCATGAGTACTGATCGGGTCTGACATGTCGCCAAGCATATCTAGCGATCAAGGCCATGAAGGCCGACTTGTGGTGCATTCGGTTACTCGAGCCTGGGATTGTGACTCGCCAGCCTTGCCCTTCCGGTGGAAGTCGAGATTTTTGTGACGCAGACTTTCGCACCAAAAGAGAGCAAGCACACTTTACGAGAAGCCACCTCTTTTTTCTCCAGGCTCCTGCCTTGCATCCGGAGTGTACCCTGTTTTTTGTTACAGGCAGGTTCGCGAATGCAGCCACCCCTCTCAGGCCCGCCCCATGACCGATTTTAGCTGAAGCGTAATTTCCAACATCGATTCTGCTGTCAGTTTCTTCGGGCAACCTTTCTTTCCAGCTGCTGTTGTTGTTGTTGTTGATTGTTGTTGACATTTGTGGCTTTACTATGCGCATTCCATAGACGAAGTCCAGCAGTAAAACCTTGCAGAAGCTCTCAGAGGGACTAACTTTGTTGCAATGTTGGCTGAACTTAGGCCGCACTTCCTTCGTGCACCCTCATCCACCTCCATGAGACGGCCAATCACAATACGATGAAGCATCTAAAGTTGTCAGGTGCCAAGAGTACAGGAGTCTTTGTGAATCACCTCCGCAAGTTGTCTTCTCTCAGCAACCTTGGATGAGGCGACGGAAACTGCTGCAACTCTTGAAGTTCGAGGTGACATTTGTGCGAGCGCAGCATGTCATGCCATCGCTCCGCTTTCTCGACAAGTGGCCTTCTTGACCGTTGTTTGCAAGTTCGCACGCTGGCTTTCGTTGCGTGAGGTCGAAGCTGACCAGTTTGGCAAGCCAATGCCATACTCTCCCCGGCTCAGGTGGCAGATCTGTTCATGGAAGTCTACGCAGACAACACAGCACGGGAACGTCACAGTCGACAGGCTTTCTGTTGAAGCAATGTATGTGGTCGCTGTGGAGAAAGAGTTGCTGATCATTCAACCTCTCGATTCTGTGGAGGTTCTGAGCGTCTGCGAGGGTCAAGACTAGATTCGGTGCGGGACCCAGCTCTTGCGAACAGACAGCGTTTCTAGGTCTAGCTCGGTGACAACATTCCCAATTGTGGGGCTGTGTAGCATGAACTTGTTGTGCAGGTGCCTGGACGAAGCACGCGGTGTTGACCTTCTTGTCCGATGTCGGGGGTCCAGTGAGGCAGATCAACACAGCTTGCTCAAGTCGTTGTCATGATTTCCCATGCCACAAGGCGTGCTTCCCCGGTACAACTGCTCGCCGATGCAGAGCTGCAAGACTACGCTTTGGAAGACCAAGAGACTGAGCGGACGAGGCCGGTGACTTCAGACACCGATCAAAGCCAAGACACAGGGAGGCCCACTGCGAGCTCCACGCCAACGCGCCCCAAGTGCTGAAGCTGTTAAGATCCGTTAAGTGCTGAGCTACTGCCGTTGCACAGCGTGGCGCGCGCGCATCATACATTCAGCCACCGTACAACAAGGGGTGGGAAGAAGATTCCGTAGACCGAGCTTCAACCTGTTTCTCGTGCATGGGGCGACCGGCTTCGCGATTCCAGCTCATGAAGCCTTCGGCCGGGAACACTTGCTGCTGATTGCAGCAGCATCGATCTAGCTATCCTCTCATTCCAACGACTCGTACCAAACACATCCAAATACTCCTCCAAAGGGACAAGGTCCAGGGCTTCCATTGCAGGTGTTGCTTCCCAGTCTAAGCCCTCATCTTCCCCAGTTTTGGGGACTCATTGCAGGGGATCGCTAGGATATGAAGCAATTGTTTGCCGGGCTGTTGCACATATCACTTTGCATCTGGCCAGCGGTCATTCCGCATGCGCATTGTCGCATCCCCCCGACATACAGCTTTCCCAGGCACTTGATACGCAATGCTTGTGAACCCGGTAGGTGGTCGTTAAAGATGTGACCTGATCTGAGAACCAGGCCAGTCAGTCAAAGCACCAAGTTGCAATGAAGCTCTCATGCTCGTCTCTTGTAAAGCATTTTGAGGCACCCTAAGAAAATCCTGCGTCAATTACATAGCCACAGCTTTGCACGACAGTGTTTAAGTTTTAAGCAAGAAGCCCTGGATGCAGTTCCTGAACTGTACCCCATGCTTGAAGCCCAAACCGTAAATACCAGCAAATCGCAAAAATCGTGTTTACGCCTTTATACGCCTTTACAGACACATAAAAGAGTGTGCCCGACACGTCCTTGGCACGAAAGCCGAACATGGCCTGACTGAGTGAAAAAGCATCGTCTTTGCGAGAAAAGCCGATCCCCGAGGTATGCCACAGGTCAAACGCATTCGGGCCCGATGTTGATAAGTTGTGGATAATTAGTTCTCATTCTATCATTAATTCTTGTTGTCACTGTATGGTAATAAGCTTAGGTGACGCTCTTCACGGGTTAAGAACCGGCTCTCGTAAGCGGTTCCTTTGGGAACCGCACCAGAGAGTAGTTTGAAGCAGCCAGGACGACAATTTAATTGCGTGGGTATGGGCGCCATCACAAGTTTCAGTGTGCCAAATTCGAGTGTCAAATGGACCTTCATTTACGACATTGCATCTGGATCACAGTCTGAGAGACAGAGCGTCGCCCGTCTTGCGCCCTTGGCGTGCTGCGCCTTAGCTGAAGAGAAGTTGTTTGGCATGTGAAGGCGGCAGCGCCATGCAAGAAGGTGTCGCTCCAGGTAAACAGCAGCGAATGGCCCGGGGTACGACTTCCTTTACCTCTTTGCTGAGCAAGGACGGGTTTCACTTCGTTGATTGTTCTTGTGCTCATGGCCACAGAGTCTGAGTCCATAGCCAATGGTCTGCAAGGCTGCCATGCGTCGCGTCCTCTGGACTGCATTCCTCACAGCGGCGGCCGGTTCCGGGGCTGACCCAGGCGCTGGGAGAGCTCTACAGGAGGAGCTTGCCCTTCGCATCAGTGCATCTCATGAGGCCTGCCGCCCTGGCGAGCCACTTCAGGGCTGGCGCCTCAGAGGTTTAATTACCCTATGCCTGCAGATACACAGAGAGAGAGAGAGAGTCCTTTCTCTGGCTGTGTCGAAGAAGAGAGAGAGAGAGAGAGAGAGAGAGAGAGAGAGAGAGTAGCGATGAGCCATTTTGGCTCAAGCCGCGAGTGCTCAAGCCCCGAGCCCAGTGCTTGAGAGGAGAGCTTTCAGGGGCTGTAACCCGGGCGGTCCGCGAGAGAGTGTGCCTCCGCCAGAGCCTGCCATCTTCCTGTACGGAGGGGTCGGCAGCACTACTTGTCTACCCCGTGAGCGCCCGCCGGGAGGACATAGTCAGGGTCGGTCCCCCTCGTGATCGGCGGCCTACTTGCGGGACCAGGGGGAGCTCGTGTACCGCTACCAGGGGGCACTCGGCGACCCTACGCAATCAGGTCGTCCCCGCAGGCCTCCTCCAGGCGCCCTACGCTGGGTGAATTTCACCATTGCGTACCTGTTTGAGCTTTTGGCATCCCGACCGAGAATGCATTCCACCATGGGAAGGAACGCGGGGACAGCCCCGGCAGGATCGCCCCTTGGCAGCGCCGACGGGGCAGCGAGGATCCCCACGCTATCCGAGTGCCTGAGCACCACATTCTCGCCTACGTCTGCGGTGCTGTCGGCGGAAGCCCTAACAGTTCCAGGGGACAGTCCCCCCGCGGCCACTCTGGAGGATTCTCTCTTTGAAGGCATGCCAGTGGACCATGAAGGCCTCGCCCCACAAGCGGCGAGCACCGAGCCAAGCGGGGCCGGCAGCACCAGCCTCGGTGGAACAACAGGGCTTCTTGGTGGCCATCACGGACATGCTGAGAGGGGAATTGCAGGCCGGCTTTGCGACGCAGCAGAGTAGAATCAACGAAGAGATCGGGGAGGCGATGGCCAAAGTCAATAAGAGAGTGGAAGCAGTCGAAAAAGGTGTCACCAAGCAGCTGCAACAGACTCTTGCAACGATCCAGGACCTTGCGGCCAAACAGGAGAAGCAAGCAGCTGGCCCAGCTCAAGAAGGAGCCGCAATCCTCGGGGAGCTCCGGGGACAACCCCCGCCGCCCAGCCTTCATTGTGGGCGGGTGGGACCCGAATCAGGAAGCTAAGGTCACCCTGGACAAGGCCAAGCAGATGCTCCAGGAGTTGAAGGTCGATGTGGACCTGGAGGTGGCGTTCGTACCAGGCCTCAGAAGGGGCTACATCATTGTCCCTATGCTCCCCAGACACGACGAGAACGGGGACGACATGAGACTTCGCATTCAGCAGGCTGTGCAGCAGGTCAGGGCTGCTAACATCACCCTGGGCACCAGGGACGACGGTTCGCCGTCGAGGCTCTGGATGGCGGTCAGTCAGCCGCCGGAACGCCGCAAACGAGCGCAGCTGGCGGCGCAGGCTAAGAGGCTGATCCTCGAGATGGATGGCAACAACCAACAGCTGGAAGTCGAATGGTCGTCGGGGTCGGTGTGGTACCGGCAACGTCGCGTAGCCTCCGCCGGGGGCAGCAAGCCAGAGGGGGCAGAGGAAGCCGGACCCGGGTGGATCAACCTACGCGAGCTGGCCCGGCAACTTGGCAGCACCGAGGAGGAAGTGAAGCGAACGTGGCGGCCGCTGGCCGCGCACCTCCGTTGACTAGCTTTCGCTGACGACCAGTTTCACCAACCACAGCGGGGACTACCTGAAGGTATTGCCCCCACTCAGTGCAAACTTTCTGTGGCGTCCTGGAATCTCGGAAGTTTTACCCCGCAGAAGATCTTGCAGGTCCTGCTTCCCGCGCTTCGGGGACAGCCACCCCTTGACACTGTTGATGTCTGGTTCTTTCAAGAAGTTATCGCTCCCGAAGGGACCGGCTTCGAGTCAGACAAGCACTGGCGCCTCGTCACGGGGAGAACAAAAGATGATTGGAGAGGTGCCATTGCCTTCCGAGCAAGCCTGGGTACGCACTGCCACACCCAAATCAGCCGTGCAGGACTTAGCACCTGCCTCAAGCGAGCCAGACAGCAGCGCGCCGGGCTCCTCAATTGCCACCTCCCGCACCACGCCACCATCGACCAGGCCCAGGCACAGCTCCACGCTCTCGGGGACCACAAGGCGACCCAGATGCGCTTCGTGGCAATGGGCATGGACGCAAACGAGGCCTTCAGGACGAGAGGCCACCAGCCATTATTGGCTACTACGGGGAGAGGGGAAGCACTTCTCCAGTGGCTTGCAAAGCAACGCCTCAAACTACCTCCCCAAGACCTGGAGCGGCCCACGCACTTCCCGTACAACACCGCCCTGAGACCACGTCGAATCGACTTCGTGGCGACACGAGGGAGGACTGCAGAGGGACACTACATTTGGCGACCACAGGGACATACCAAGCTCCGACCATGAAGCAGTGGTCATCATGTTGCAAGGGGACCAACCCCCTGCCGCCCTCGCCAAGAAGGCACCGGCATGGGGGCCCCGGCCTCTGCGCTTCCCGCCCGTGCCCGAGGACAAGTTCAGAACATTTTGCAGCCGCACGGGGACATCCATCAGGGGCTCAAGGAAGCGGCGATGGCGGTCACCACCGCAAGAACATCGGCGCGGTACCGCGAGAGCACCGACCTGAAGAAGCTGCGCCGGCAAGCGCAACTCACGCCGCCGGGGCCCACACTTAAGACGAAGTGCCTGTGAAGCAGTCCTCCACAAGCGCAAGGAGGAGCACAAAGCCTGGATGCGCCAACTCGTTAAGCAAGCCGGGGAGCGATCGTGGGCCTCCTACAGGGAGCTCAAGACGCAGCGCCGCCCCCACAAAAGTTGGGAAGCCAAGATCACCGACGACCCCGACTGGAAGGAGAACCTCCTGGCACACTTCAAGGGCATCTTTGCCAAAGAGGACCCCAGCGCAGTTCGCGGGACAGCCCGAGCCCTGCACGACCAGCTCACAAGGCAATGCAAATCAACGCCATGAAACCCATGCCGGGAAGACGAGCTTCGGCCCATCATGGCTAAGTGGAAGAACAACAAGAGCACGGGGACAGACAGGACCTCCCTGGAGGCAGTCAGATACATCTCCCTGACAAGGG